GGGGCAGCCTTCTGGGTTAAAGAAGTCACAGAGGGAACCCTGAGTGGTGAGCAGTGGAAAGGACACTTCTGCCAAGTTGTCTCTGGGCTACAATGAAAACAAAGACAGCATCGAGTCTCTGCTCACCTTCCTTCCCCAGGAGGCCACGGCTTCAGGTCACTTCCCAATCCCTGCAGAGTGGGAGAAGGCCAGTCGTGGGCCACAGCAGAGGTGGGAACAAGTGGTTCACCAGAGAACTGAGGCTCCCCCACACCTGATGTACGGCCTTGGGATCTCTGCAGTTCCCCATCGCCTGAACTGGTCTTTTGGGCACATCAGTGGCCCATATGCCATAGGGAGCTGCAGGAGGGTTTTTCAGGATCATGGATTTCAAGATCAGGCACATTTTGGGAATAAGCAACAGGAGACTGTCCGACATAACCACGTTTCACATCCTCAGATGTGTGCAATTTCATTTACTAGTCCTTTTACCTTTTTGGCTTTCTTGGAGTCATATTCAGTGTCTGAAGGAACAGGCTACCGGTCTGTTTTTAAGCTCACTGTGTGTAAGTACATGAAGCACAAAGCTTGGACACTCCAAAACCAAAAACACCACCAAAAAAACCCAAAACCCAAACCAAAAATAACCCCCAACATGATTACTTACAGCCACCCGGATAAAGGAAACACACACCATGTCAGCTAATACCTTTTATTGTCAGACTTTCTGTGAGCCAACAAACAACAATTTCGCACGGTTCTCCATAAGGGATAAGGCAAGTTTCTTTTTTCTTTGTGGGTAGACTTTGCTGGCCCAAGTCTTTATAACTTTTCCATATAAAAATAGAAGTCCAACACCAGATTACTTTTCTTCTGGTCATAAATGCTGATTTATTTACAGGTGTCACGTTTAGACCACCATTATAAACTTGGGATAAAATATGTATTTTATTAAAGCCTCCGCATTTAATGTCAGGGTCCTTTAAAGATTCACTCACATGTTACGCCTTTCAGGAATGCAGCATCTCTCCCCCACATTCAACATGGTTATATTTGCAATCTCTCTGGACTGGTACAAGCTAACCTTCAAAGAAACAATTTTTTTTAACTTAAATCTTTTAGAAATGAAAGGCTCCAAAATGACTTCATATTGTTCTAAAAACAGCATTGGAGCCCGCTGTTTACGAGTGGTTTATAAATACAGTTATTATCTTGTAGGCTGCGCATCTGTTTGTAATACAGCAGACACAGATTACAGACTTTGCTACATGTAAAACAAAACTGAGTCAAAACATGTTTTTTGAAATACAGCAAAGACAGGAAAATCCACGATTCCGGTTTGTTAATAAAACCACCTTATAAAGTAATAACTGAAGACTATATCTCTGAACTATTAAAATATACAGACAGACTGTTCACACCATTGCACGTCCTTTTTTCCCTTTGCTTTTAATGCTCATGAAATGATGATTAAA